ACAGATGATGACAGGGTGTTTGTATGAAAGACACTTCAGTTCAGTTAACTTCATACCACACATAACATTTAGCAACAGTCTGATAACCTCCTTCAACCCAGACAGGTTTGCCAAAAATGCTCATCTATAAAAAAAATCCGTAACTGATAATCACACATGCAAATGTCATTGTCACGAAGCAAATGATGATACATAGTGGGGCATTATGTTTGGTCCTCTGTTATTTAAATTTTAGCGTGTGCTTCTTTTTGTGGTTACTAACTGATGTACAATAATTTCAGCTTCCCAGAAAGGCCTGGAGAAAATACTATTGTGTAGGCACACTTGTATGTGTTTCACAAACCATGTTAGTTTATTATTAATGAGTGTTAATAAATGTATTCTCACACATAAAAATAAAATCACAACTGGCCCTGGCTGTCAGTATAGTGACACTACATTGTGTGTTGCCCTCAGGCAAGAGCAATGCCTTTGAGTACACTATTCATGCAGTCTTTTCTAAAATGTCTTGACAGATGTGCTCTGTGGCTCATTGCTGTTTGTCACCACTCCATGTTAAATTATGCAGTTAAACTTAGCCAAATTGGCGTCCTAAAAACACCTGGAAACACACAGATCTGAAGGAATGTTTCTGCTGATAAGACTTCAGTAGTGTTCTACGTCATCTTTCCAGCACTGGCACAAACTGCCCAAGCCAAATGACACCTCTTCAATCTGTGATCTGATCACATACTTTCAGACAGATGGATGGCAGTCTTTGTTAGTGGAGATCAACCTGTGTAGCCAACTCGCTGTTCGTATCAATCCATTACAGGGACATTGACCATGTGCTTCTTTCCTTGTCTACACTGTATACTGGTGATTTTTTCTGCAGCCTCCATGGCATCAATCACCAATACAACCAAGCATACAGAAAACACCTCTGCTCACTATGATTACTTAACTCAAACACTGTAACTTGCAATTACCAGAGTTAAAGAAAAAAGGGTTCCCAATAACACCTAATCCATATGCCTGGATAACGCCTACTTCATGAACTGTCCACTGGGAAACGGCACAAGGACATAAAGACCAAAACCACACAGACCTGCTACCCCTCTTAATTAGCCCTGCCATAGAGCCTAATCCATACAATTTCTCAAATCCATCTCTGAAAACTATGCTATTACACTTGCTACTGTTTATTCCATCTTATTTTTTTATTCATGAGCCAGAACTATTTCTGCTCTCTGTTGCTTTAAGATAAGGAATATGGTAAATAATGGAAAGACCTTCATTTTTGCTTTTCATCATGACACAGTCTGCAGTTGTCCTAACAGCACATGACTGAAATGTGCTACTGGACTCGCTACACCCCTGATGCTGACAACTAAACTTTCCAGTTGCAACAGTTCTACTACTCTTAATACTACTCTATTTAAGTACTACTACTCTTGAAGCACTCCCTCAGTATAGTCAAACTCATACTCACAAATATTTAAAAGCCTTGTAGGGCTGGGCGATAAAATCAAACATCTCATCACTTTTGACCAAATACCTTGATATTGATATTTTCTTCTGTACAGTAATGCAGCCTTTAAAACCAGGACATGACAAGATTTATGAGATTACAATATTCAAAATCTATGATGATAGCAAATCTCATCAAAGTGTCTAATGCACTATTGTATGGTCAATAAAACACTGATAAAAAATATTTTAGATTTGACACTGTAGCTGACGAGTGAACAGTCAGAACAGCTCATACATATCAAACGTGTATACAAGCCAACTTTGACGTTTCATTAGAAAACGAAACTAACAGGTCTAATAGCAGCTTTACTGCAGATTTGCAGGCCGGTTGTTGCCTAGAAAAATGAAACCTATGAACATCGCAGGAAGCTCTTCATTTGAATGCCCAGAGGAATAATGTCACCACTGAAAAGGAGTGTCAAGTGACAACCTAACAACTGTGTACACACTACCAACTTGATAATCACCATTTGGTGATGTATGGATTGGCAGTGTGCAGGGCGAAATGTGCATATAGTACTGTCACGTGGTTTTAGGATAAAATTAATTAAAGGTCCCCGTAAATAACAACGCCTGGCCCTACACTTGTTTCCACAGACAAGTTACCCTACGTGACAGCCACTGCACCAGCTTCCTTGTAGTTTAACACAACCGTGCAGAATCGACCTCAAGACATTAGAATTACATTTAATTAAGAAGCAGCAATACTACCAAGTAACCTTTTATTAACAATACATTAACGGCGACCCATCACCACCTTATCAAAAATGAGTGGAGAGTACAGGGTCCCCGCCTACTTCGAGCCCAACCACAAACACAGCAGATAACGTTAAACTGACTGGCTACCTTATTAATCAGATAACACATAGATTATCTGACGACGTGTTCAAAGTAGACTGAAAATAGCAAGCTCAGCATATAAACCGAATCAAATTTGGCCACTTTAAGTTAGCTGACGTAGTCAAATATTACTGTGGCAGGGCCATTTCAACGTTAAGTTATCCAGTCCGTTGGGAAGGCCCTTGGGTAGCTTGCTGGCTAATGTTTGTGTTAGCTAGCTAATGATGAAGCAGATTTTCTAAACGTTACACTGCGACGCTCATTGACGACCGCACAGCAATAATGTCGCAACAAAGGTCAATGTGCACCAGCCATAAATCGAGCCTTATTTCAATCTGTTCATGAGTTACCAGCCAGAACAAGCTAAATAGCATTTTGAGTAAGTTCGCTAACGTTAGCATATTAGCTAACGTCAGCAACTGACTCGATGCCAGTGCAAGTTAAGCTCGAGTAGCTTGCTAGCCGCTAACGTTAGCTAAGAGGGTAACGTTTCCCATCGAACTTAACTACCCAAGCTAAGTTAGCAACTTAGCCAGCCAGCTCAGTCATGGGTGGACACGGCTAGTATTTGAGCAAATAGAGACACGAAATTTATTGACATGTAACTGGTTACCTGTTGATTATTGACCCAATAAGCTGAGGTAGCTCCTTCGTCTCAAAAGCGGTGTACGAAGCTGATAAAAGCGGCCGTACTGCCGCTGTCCATTCGTGTTCCCCATCTCCTCCGCTCGACGCCATCTTGAAATCCCATAGAAAAAAAACTAGCAACTGGAGGAAGAAACTGTGAAAGTAAATGACAGGGGGCGCTCACAATCTGACGACAGTCAGGCCGACATCATTATAGCCCATATACAGAAATGAACTCTGTTTGCGTCAAAAAAAAAACAAAAAACATGCATACAAAATACAAAACAGACAGTAAAGCCAACACAGGTAAAACAGACCTGAGATTAAAGCATAAAAGTGTACACGAATGTATACATAATAAGTAATATAAAAATAAATTAAGGGCTGGGGCAAATAAGAAATAAACTCATTATGAAATACACCAAACCTTTGTTTCACCTTCATATATTTGGATTTGTGTAAATAAAGCTTTCCAAGTACAAGAATGTGATTAACCACAAAGTCGTCATTGCTATTGTCCACGATGAGTCCATAAACAAAGTCCTTTTGAGAAACGTTTTCATGATGAAAAAATTGGGGCAAAGCCATTCATGAACATCAAGCCATAAAGCTTCACAATACATACACTGGAAAAACTAATGATCAGTAGCCTAGTTTTGATATCATCCCAGAATACATAATTATTGGTTTCAATTCCAAATAGTATTAATTCAAGTCTGGATGGATATACTCTGTTTGTTAGCCCACTTCTCTTTTTTTGCTTTTGGACTTAGTGGGAATTTTTAGTATTTAGTTCATAACGTGAATAGCCTATTACTTTTCAAATAGATTTGTAAATTGAATTTCTGTAGGATACTATGGTGTGTGAGATGTAATTAAACATATTTCTAATTGTTTTGTTCGGGATTCTTATTTCATTTAAGTCATAGGCACCAACTAAAAGTTATGGAGACAAGGGGTGACAGGAATGAATAGAGCTTGTTGACATTCCTTTAATTAAGGATATAACAGAGTTTGCGATGGCATGAGCTATAGATCTAGAGATGTTATAGTTGCCAATCAAATCATAGCTACAACAGAAATTCTCATATGACATGATAGATCCACTATTCTCAACAAATAATCATTTTTCATCCCAGGGCTGAGGAGGGCTAATAATACATTTCCCAATTCATATATGTAAATAAAACAATGCCCTTTTAACCATTATATTTATGATATATAGAAATAATACAATACCTCATGCAGGTCATTTATTAATGATAGCCTATCTATTGCAATTGTCTCCAGTGAACTAGTTAACCAGTGTTTATTTTATTTCATGGTTTGATTAAAGACACAAATACATACAATCATGGATATTTGAAGAGTCTTGTAAATTAAAATTGTGCGTGAGTTTCGCAGATTGCCTACTGCACCACTACTGATCCAATATAAGATAATATAAGAATAAATTATAGTCGCTACTTACAAATATTGTTGCCTTAATTTTAGAAAGATTATTTTTGCATCATCTTTTATAATAGCAATAGGACTTTATTTGAGGCCAGCAACCAAGTAAAAAAGGCTGGTCTCCTGTATCTGACGACAGCTTAAACAAATGCCATAGATAAAAAAGAAAGTGTAAAAATAAAATAGAACAAAATGAAATTAAAATAATGTATTCGAGTATATTATATAAAATAATAAATAATAAAGATGAGTAATAAAACATAAGCTTGTACATGTGTTTTTGCAATTCATTCTAATAGTAATAAAGTGTCATAAGTCAAATTTTTAATTTAAAGATGAATTAGTGTTAGCAAAAAATATCACTTAAAAAGTAGTTGATTTATTACATGTAATTATCGCTGCGGTATTTTACGTTATTTGAACTTCTGAGGACATTTTTGGGAGTATATTTTTTGTGATCACTGCATTACGCCACCTTTCTTGAAGCTATGTGCCTTTCTCCCCTGTAGGGGGCAGCACCGCTCAGTCATGAGACTAGAAGGAAGCGAGTCAACTTCCGACTTCCTCCTTCTCTTGAAGAGCAAGCTAAATCTACTGCTGCAATGGCAAAGCTAATTTTGTTGTGCCTGAAATTTATGATGTTATGCGGCACTCTCGAAGCTGTGTTTGAGGATCAAGTAGGGAAATTTGACTGGTAAGAGAAACCTAGAGAACGACCAAATATGTGTGCTATTTAGAGCCATGTTTTAATGTGTAAATGCTAATGCTAACACCTGTCACTGCCACTAGCTGCGACCCGGTGTGTTTGAGGTGGACTTTGAATGAGAGAATAGGCCAAAGAATAAAAATATTAATACAAGAATTGTTATTTACTAGCATACGGCAGGTGCTGTTGGCTTTTGATTTGCCTTTAGAAAACCACAGGTCGAATAAGCTCAATAAATTACAGTAAATATGATTTTAATTGATTTCCTTTTAACTAATCTGATAACCAGTGTGCCGTCCACCAGTTATTGCTTTTCTCAACAGGAGCTATGTGTCCTAACTCTGGGGATTGATCCCTGTAATGATACAAGCTTTGGTTCAGCTTTAATTATAAACCAGGTTGTTGACCTTCTGACAAGTTGTTTTGTGTCTTGTGATTTACAGGAGGCAGCAATATGTTGGCAAGGTTCGCTTCTCCCATTTTGACACACATATGCAGTCATCCAAAAAGGTGCTGCTAGCAACAGAGAATAATGTCTTTGCCTCACTCAACACCAGAACTGGAGAACTCTGTAAGTATTCTGTCTGTGGCAATAGGAAGTTATATATGGCCAAGTATGGAAAGATGATTCGCCTCTCAGCTGACATGCTTTGTGTTCGTATATCAGTATTTATTTAATGTCTGTTACAGTCTGGCGACATGTTGATAAGACTGGGCCAGAGGGAACCATTGATGCTCTTCTGCAACATGGACAAGGTGATTTTGTCATTGCAGTTGATCTTACAGAGGTTTTTGTTCCCGTGTTGAAAGCAGGTAACTCACTGAACTGTTCTTGTCTCCCAGATGCGGTGCTGGTGGTTGGAAATGGTCGCTTGCTGCGCTCATGGGAGATAAATATTGGTGGTTTGAACTGGGAGATTGTGCTCGACTCTGGCAGGTGACTACTCTCTTGATTGGCAGTTGTTAAGTGTAGACTTGTCCCTACTGTGATCAGATGTTAACTGCTTTTGTTATATATTTTAGTTTCCAGTCGGCATGTTTGGTTGGACAGCAAGATACTGTAAAACACGTGGCTGTTTTGAAGAAGAGTGTCATCTCTCTCCATTACCTCTCTAATGGTCATCAAAAGTGGATAGAGAATATACCAGAAAGGTAAGTCGAAATGTTTTTGTGTCGACATTGAATCCTGAGTTATGTCTGTATTTTTTCAATATAAGCCTGTCTTTATTAATAAAACATCTCCTCTGAAATTAAAGATCCACTCCACACATTTGAATACATAAAAGCACTCTGCTTTGAGTAGTAATGTGTGTGTTGTGGTTGAATTAAAACCCACACTGACACAGGGAGAACATGCAGACTCCACACATAAGGGGCTGATTTTAAAATTTTAAGTGCTGGACGTAAGGTGTCCTACTTTACTGAAAAATCCATTCTCAGTGTGTGTGAGCAGGAGGTTTCAAGTTTCCACATCACAGTGACTGAAGTTTCATACTGGACCCCGGACGGCTCCAAACTCACTATTATGTCACAAATCATGCTCATAGGTACAACTCGGATTTAAAGTGAGCGCAGAGAAACCAACAGATTAATGTGAAAACAGCCTTCACGTGTCAAACTCTGCACAGTAAAGCTGAAATATTCAAGTTAAATAACACTTAGAAAAACATATTGTGACGGGGGAACTTCTTGTATGTTGTCTGCTTGAATTATTTTGTAGAGAAACCGACTAAGATGCTGGTAGTGGTTGGTGGGGAAATGTTTGGGGGAAATGATAACTCTGCTTCATGTAATGGAAAGATTGGATTAAAAATTATGTAGGAGGAGCGCCTTTGTAGCCAAGTAGTTACAGCAGGTGCCATATAACGGCAATATTGCAGGTTCAGTTCCACATTTGCTGTATCTCATACTCCTCTCTTTTCCTTATTTCTACCCTGTCATCTGTAGGGCTGGATAACATTTGATTTGATTATGATACTAGTGCCAACACTATTACCCTTAAAGTGACTCCAGTAGAGTACTTCATTCAATATCCATCGTGTAAATGGAAGCATTCAGTTGCATAAAATGCCACCATATTTTCGAACAATTTGGTGGAATTTTGGCATTGTGAACCGCCAAGTTTGTCATATTTACCAGACACGACTTCACCATAGACTGTTGTCTAGTTGTAGTGTAGCTGCTGTGGTAGCAGGCCAGTGATTTGCTGCGAGCAAAACTATTCAAACAGTCATTTTGTCTAGATCTGGCTACAAAAAGGTTCGAATGCAAGTATCATTTGACTTCAAAAGTTTAGATACTACTTGGTCCGGAGTTATTTCAGTCGACACCTTAAAGTTATCAAGTACCAATAACCAGCCCTAGTTGTCTGTCAAATAAAGGTAAAATCAAGTCAGAAATGAATAAATGGATATGTGCATAACAAATTCAAGCACTAACAGGAAGCAGTTAATAGAAATGGTAGTACTCAAGCTGCAGAAATGTCCGGTACATAAAGGCCGAAATTCTTTGTGTCTATGAGCGTGATTGGCACTGGAAAAAATGTATAATTAACTTTTTATCTCCACAGTGAAACCGTAGATTACCGGGCTGTATACTCTGGTGGAAATGGTGAAGTGTATGTACTGGGAGTTGTTCCTCATTCCCACATTGCCATTGTGGCTTACAGTGTGGAGGATGGAGAGATAATCAAGCAGGTAATCCTTATTCAAAGTAGCAGTTTATAAATGCTGTGCAGAATATGTAGAACAGAAACGAAACACAAACTTTTTTTGAATACATCCAGTTAATCGACAGTGTTAGCAATATATATTAAGCCCACATCTCTTACTGCTTTGCTCATGTTGTCCTCAGATCTCAGTGGAAGCTCCGTGGCTGTCCAACATACAGGCCAGCTGTGCGGTTATCAGCCAGGGGATGTTGACATGTGTGGACTCCACAACTGTATCTCTGTACATGCTTGACTTGCATGTACAGGCACAGATGACCCAGATACCCCTGCAGGTACCTACCAGAATAAAATGAAAACCTTTCTATTGAATAAACTTACCATGTGTGTCCTGTGCTCTGGTTTGGGTAGGTCTTCACTTGTCTCTGGTATCTCTGCACTTCCCTCCCAACACAGTGGAACTGTCTCTGTTTCTACCTACCTTATTTTCTCTGTGTGAATGCTTTTCACCATTTGTCTTTTTCTAGTCACTGGGACTTGAAGTCACCCCTGGCTTCCAGCCAGTACTGGTGTCTACCCAGCCCAACCCAGCTCGCCCTCCGCTGTCAGAGTTCCTCCTTCAGCTCGGACCTGAACACCACCTGCTTCTGCAGCTCAACAATGGTCAGATAGTTACACTGAGGGATTTCAAGCCTGTACGTAACTATTTCTGCACTTCTCTCTAATGATGCATGATCAAGATTATGACCATGAAATTCAGACCATGAAATGTTTGCCGTCCAAAAATGTTAGTGTATTGTAATATTGTAGTTTTTGTACTGGACAACAGCTTTATTTACATGCCTAAAAAGTAAATGGCACTTGATTCACTTGCTAAAATCTTAAATAATTGGTTTGTAACTTCAACAAAGGTCTATCTGTAAGGCCAAGAATTTCAGAATATGTCCCTGTTATTTTTAAGCTCTGACATTTTTTGTATTGAGATATTTCAGTTGTTAATTTACAAAACAGTTAATGAAAATTATTGATGACATATTTTTCTTGATTTGTAGGCCATGCTGGTTTCATTTGCTACCACTGGAGAAAAGACTGTTGCTGCTGTCATGACGCCCAAGAATAAAACTGTGAGTTAATGTGAAATCATACATTCAGGCTTGAGAAGTATGTGGTTTGTCATCATGCTCCCTTGGCAAAATATGTTGTTTATTGGCAGATTTAGTACAGACTTAGTTGTCTCTTTGTGAGCTTGATGTGTGATTCACATCCTTCAAGATGAATAGTATTTCATCAGATTAATATGATTATCTGTTTTCCTCCTTATAGGCTTGTAGTCTCAACCTCTTTAGTGCAGAAACTGGACGCAGACTTCTAGACACAACACTGATTTTTAATATGGATCCTAACGGTGGGAAACCAGAAAGGGTGAGTCAGAATTTCTACCCAGTGAATTTGATATCTGGCTGGTAGTATTGTCTTCTGATAATACAACACTATTTTTATTCTGTCTTTCAGCTGTATGTACAAGCATTCCTGAAGAAGGACGATTCTGTGGGTTACAGGGTGATGGTGCAGACAGAAGACCACACGCTCACTTTCATACAACAGCCAGGTACAGATGGCAAAAACAGGAAAAACTGTTCGTGTTAGAAAGAGTACTTTGTTAAGGCCCAGACACACCAAACTGACATCAAAGGCTGACTGACACATCGCCTGTGTCTCAGCCAAAATAATGCATTTGAGCACACTACAAAGCCTACAGCTAACAGCCAGCTAGCACGTATGTTCTGCGCCTGTTTAAGAGGAAATAACTCTCCATACCAGCAGGCGGTGGTAGTCTGTGTTCTCATTCAAAAAGGAACACCAGAAGACCGACAGGACAGATTCAGGATGCTAGTTGGACAGTTAGCACATTAACGACACAAGCCACTGTTGAATAATAATCTTTTATCGGGAGCTGGCAAACAGTGACACAAACAGCTTCTGCTGAAGAGTTCAGTGTTACCCAATATAACAAGTTTTGTTTTGACTTAAGTCATTTGTTTGTCTTCCACATTTCCATTTTTCCTTATGTGCGCTGAGCTGAACTGCCATTCTGAGTACTTTCGTTCACCGACACTGGCTCTGCTGTCTCAGACACCGATTCAACATGCTGCATCGGCCGAAATAAAGCTGACAAGGGCCGACTAGAGCCAATGGTGCAGGACAACGTGCAAAAACAAGGGCAGCAGACGCTCGCCCACAGCCCGACATTTACCAACAGTTGACTGTCGGCTTGGTGTGTCAGGGTTAAAGTGGAAATAGACAAGTGTTTTTTCTTTGAGCTATCATGATGACATAAATGCAGACCAAAATGTCTTTAGAATCATGACACAGTCAGAGTTGAGATTAGTTCCCTAAAAGTGCTGCAGTCACTGTACAATTCTGTCTGCCACTGGGTACGATCTCCCTGGAAAAGTAAGGCTTTATTTATGCCATAAAAGAAGTGCGTCAGCCGTAGACAACCTAAGCAGGAAGAGAATAGCGCCTATGGTTTCTCCAGCAACTATTGGTGGCTATCCACAGCCACCAAAAAGTATCACTGTAAGTTCTTCGCCGTTACTATTCCCAGTAGCAGAATTGTAACTGTGGAAAACTGTGGTTATTTTTTTTTTTAGGCTCTAGGGAAAATGAAAAGGCTTCCAGTTGTCTTTGCAACAGCAGTGCCAACAATAATACCACGTGGAGCTGCTAGGGGGGAAAGTTGAGAAGTTGTTTGTTTCCTCTTTAATGTTATCTGTGGTATTGGCTTTACACTGCTGTCTGTCACTGTGTTGTTTTTTCTTTATCCTACCACTGAGGGGCGCCAAAGTCTGATCATTTTAAATTCCTGCTTGTCGTAATAAAATAAACAGACCTTTTTCAGGAATTTTATTCGGCCAGATGCAGCAAAAACGCACATAGGATGGCCTTTTACTTTTCACTTTGCATGAAAATTGAGGCCATGTTATTTTTATACAGGTGTCTTCAGGTGGAGGGTTGTAGGGAATCGCATGGGATTTATAGCCAGCAGGTGAAATGGCTTCAAACTTTTAGATTTGTGCTTAGAGTCAGTCCCTCACTGTGTTTACTGTTGAGACCTAGTACTTCTTTCCACAGTGAGCCACGCTTTGCCTCATGATAACATCTGGGTATATTCCTTCTCTTAATCATCATAAATACTGCCAACATCTGACCACTGTGTGGAGTCCAAACAGGCTCTCGGTTTTCATGATGTACACACAATGTTGTCCTTTCCACGGGAACGAGGGGGGGAAAAATATTTCATGTCGTAATTCACGGAGAGCGTCAACACAAACTGCATACTGTCACAGGGTGTGGAGAGTGGAATGAATGATTACAGAACAATAATGAGTCCTGTTTTCCAGGGCGTGTAATGTGGACAAGAGAAGAGGCCCTGTCAGATGTGGTGACAATGGAAATGGTGGATCTGCCTCTCACAGGAACGCAGGCAGAGCTGGAGGGAGAGTTTGGCAAAAAGGCTGGTAAATGTCAAACCAGAATCCATTCATGTTTTTCCTCCCAACTTTCCAACAAGTTCTAATCTCTGCTGTGCAGTGATGTTCAGTAGTTTATCTATTATTAGTGTCAGCTTTCACTCTGTCTTACTAGTTTGCTAATGTTTTCTCATGTCCTAGAAAGTTAAGGCAGCTTTGCAATTCTTAATCTTAGGATTATTTTTGTCAAGCTTGATTCATCATTTTGCGAATTTCTACTAATATAGAACTAATGATAAGGTCCACTGAATTGTTGCTTTTGCTTTTATCCTTACTTTAACTGCATGGCACCTGCATTTAATCGCCAAAGATGTACTTTTTTTTAATCTTATTTTTTGAGGTTGCTGCAGGCTTGGTGGGCTGGTAAATATAGATTCTTGGGTGTGTTCACTTGGTTGCTATTTGCTTCACTTTCTTTTGTCTTTGTTCCTGTTTTCATTGCTTCGCTCGGATTCAGCTATTCAAGGTAACGCACTTCTCTGCTTGTCTTCAATAAATATTATGTTACTAATCATGTGAGAAAGAAGCTGCTAAGAAAGTAGTAGATCTACAGACCCTTTTTATGTTGTAAGCATGGCTGCCGCGAATCCTTAAAGTCTTAAAAGATGCTGATTTCATTAATCTAAAAATAAGGCCTTAATTGGTATTGAAATGTTTTAAATCAATCTTTAAAAAATCTAAGATGTGCTAAGTGGGATTTTATTAATTGTGTCTTTTTTGGTGTTACATTGTAAAAATCTCAAAATGACTGGTTACGTCTATTTTTAAAAATAATTTACCAAATGCCTGTTGCGTTAATTTCAAGCAGATCAGGATACCCAGGGTGAGGGGTTTGAACCCGAGGGTGGGGGACTCCTTCTGTGTGGAGTTTGCATGTTCTCCCCGTGCCAGTATGGGTTTTTCTTCGACTCAAAATTGCCCATAGGTGTGAATGTGAGCATGAATGGTCGTCTGTCTCTATGTGTCAGCCCTGCGATAGTCCGGCGACCTGTCCAGGGTGTACCCTGCCTCTCGCCCAATGTCAGCTAGGATAGGCTCCAGCACACCCGCGACCCCTAACAGGATAAGCGGTTACAGAAATGAATGAATGAATGAAGATCAGGATAGCCGATCCAACAACAACTTCCAGTAGCTTGCTGTCATTCCTGGACAACATGGGGAAGTGCAAATTAACCAACCAAGATTTAACCAAGATTTTTTGGCATGGTTGAAACAAGTACAGGGCAATGTATATTAGACTCATGATGGCATGATGGGAATCAAGGCAGTGGAATCCCACATGCAGAGTTAGAAAGACAAAATTGCCAAGAAAACTCGCCAACAAACTGCAGGTGTTTCCCAACTCTGTCCTACCCTCGTCTCCTTCACAAGACAAGAATGTTTTGTGTTATATTACAATAAATATCGGGGGCAAAAAAGTAACTGATGCAAGTTCATGTTTTTTCCCTTCAGTTTTGGTTGTTGTAAAATTGGTCCCAAAATTCATTCTGAGTGGCATTAAAAAAAGTCTTAAACTAATTTGCCATAAGAACCCTGTTTAAGGTACAGCTGTGCTTTGCCTGCAATAACAATACCACAGTGTTCAAGCTGTGATTCTCAATTCATTGAAAGTCATTAAGCACCATCTGTGTTCTCTCTGTAATTTGTCCAGACGGCCTGATGTCCATGGTGCTGAAGAGGCTCTCCTCTCAGCTCATCTTACTGCAGGCCTGGATCGCCCACCTCTGGAAGCTCTTCTACGATGCGCGGAAGCCTCGCAGTCAAGTCAAAAACGACGTGACCATCGAGAACCTGTCCAGAGACGAGTTCAACCTGCAGAAGATGATGGTTATGGTTACTGCATCTGGGAAGGTACGAGACTAAAGCTTACCCTCTCATAGAGTCACTGGTAGGTAGTGTTTCAGGAGGGATGAGTTGTGCTGCATATTTGTGGTTAAACTAGTTTCTTTTTATTTTGTCTGTGGTCAGGCAGCCTAAAGTAAAATTAAACACTACTAAATAAAGTCCATCAGGCCTCTCGGGAAACTCATTTTTCCCGTTGCTTTTTTCTCTGTGAAGCTCTTTGGGATTGACAGCAAGACCGGCAGTATTTTGTGGAGGCACTACCTGGACAATGTCCCATCTAATGCAGCTTTCAAACTAATGGTGCAACGGACCACTGCACACTTCCCTCACCCGCCACAGTGCACGCTGCTCATCAAAGACAAGGTATCTAATGACAAGAGCTCTGTGCTTAAAGAGCCTCAGGGTGGGAATTCATTTATGGCGAAAGCTGAATACTTCTTTTTTCTACATTGGTCAAACCTGTGTAACTGTACAAGTGATGTGTATTTATTTTTGCCATTTCTTATATGTATATTTCTTGTTCTAAGGACACAGGTCTGGCAATGCTGCATGTATTTAATCCCATCTTTGGAAAGAAGAGTCACATCACCCCGCCTGCTCTGCCTCAGCCGATACTTCAGTCACTCATGCTGCCTCTCATGGACCAGGATTATGCCAAGGTCCTTCTTCTTGTTGATGACCAGTACAAGGTCAGTGGCAAACTCTAAACCTCCTCACCCACCACGTCAACATTCAGTGTTTGTTTTAGTACAGATTATAATTTGTTTCAGACAAAACTGTAATACCAAAAATAATAGTCTGGATATAATAATCCTTTGGGAAAGTTTCATGGTAGTATTTGTTAGTTAAAAAAATGTGCCCAATTCACTTGTTGTGTCTTAACTTTTGTCTAAAAATGTATGGAATTTACAACATATACCTTTTTAAAGGTAGTTTTCTTGAAATTAGTTATTTCTCAAACTCTGAGCCAGAAATCTCCTTTTCACTTACATACACCAAACCTTCCAGTTTTGTTTCTGTCTATATTCTGAAGATTTTTACAGAGGGGTTTGTTCATTTATCATTCACAGCCTGATTTATATAACATTTTCCGAACAGTAATGCAAAAATTGACCTATGGTTGTTGACAGAATTTACAGATTTATTAAGTGATAAAATTAAGCAATAAGCCACAAGAGGCCATGGTTTATGGTGATTTTAGAACAGCTAAGGGGATGATACACAACGGAAAATGCCTTTACAAATCTGTTGTGTATTTCTGACCATTCCCGTTCCGGTGGATGATGAATGATTTATGCTTCAGTTGGCGTTTCTCTGCTCTGTATCCCAAATGCAGCTGCACATTGAACCAGACAGTGTTGACCAGGTGTGATTGGATTTAGTGCCTGAGCTTAATTTTCCAAAAGTCTGCATCCGTTAATGCTTGGTGGTGAGGTGTTTTGTTGTGTCCTTCTCTGTGAAGGTTTTTCGCTGCTCCAATTGCGAGCAGACCACATAGTCTGTTAAACAGCACTGGCTTTGTTATGTGGTCACAGCAGTGTGTGAGGAGTATTTTACAATGGCTTTGAACACAGTTCAACTAATCATACTCAAGGAGTGGAACTATTCACGTTATGAAGAAATAACCAATATTCCATCTGTAAAAACCTTTGACTCCTAATACGTAACATAACAAAGTAACTGTCTTAATGTAAGTAATCAACTGGGGAAGTTTCATGGTAATAGCTAATGATTTAAAGTATAACCCTTTTCTGTAGGGTCTCCCCTTAACAAATACAGATACAGACATTCATGTTGTGTCTCAAAGTCATTTTTCTCTCTGCATCCATGTGAACCAGATCAACACACAACTTACAAAAAAACGTATCCATGTATGATTTTTCCACAGGTGTCTGCTTTCCCCTCTACGAAGAATGTGCTACAGCAGCTCCAGGAGATGGCCTCATCCATATTCTTTTACCTTGTTGACTCCAGCCAGGGAAAACTTTCTGGCTACAGACTACGAACGGCAAGCAAACCTTTTTTTCGCTGAATTATTTCAATGTAATTTGCACATCAGAGCTCAAGAGTTTTAGAAGTTTTACAAAGCTTAGCCACCACCAGTCTAACACTCGTTTGTGATAGAACGTAACAATGGTTCCTATATTTTTAATGTTAGTAATTGCAGGGATAATTTTTCTCTATTTCAGTAATAAAAAAAGTGACCAAAAAGAGTCAGATATATCTAAAATAAATGCTTAATTGATCAAGAAGCATTTTTAATTTTTAAGAGAGTCTCTTAGTTTAAAGGATATCAGTGAAGTGTGAAATGCCAGAGGTCTGTTTTTATTGTTCCAGTTCTCATGCTGAACTTCCATAAAGAGATGCTTCAATCACATATAACTGATTGTCAAAAACAATGAATCTGGATGTTTTTTTGTGCTCAGGACTTGTCGACCGAGCTGATCTGGGAGATTGTCATCCCAACCGAGGTACAGAAGATTGTCTCAGTCAAAGGGAAAAGGCCCAATGAGCATGTGCACTCCCAGGGCAGAGTAATGGGAGACCGTAGTGTCCTCTATAAGGTATGATGACTTCCACTGAATCCTTACTAATGCTGTGGTTTGAAAGGGGTGTTTAAAGGGAGTGAAAATAATATCATTGCTCTTATTAGGGCCAGATTTGATCAGTGTTGTCTGGTCCCACTTCAGCCAGAGACACAGAGTCACTCTTCGTCTTCTGATGTAGGCTGAAAACTCATCTTTCCCAGAAATACTGTACCTCATGTCACTGTTTCCCCAGTGAATCATATCCTCTCTCCACCACTGACTCTATAAGAATAAACAGTGGGGTTTTTTTCTACTAGGACTCTTACACTCCTTACTATAGTTTCAGTATGATCTATGAAATCAATCATATTCTGCTCTGGCACTTAATATTAGGCTCTGTCTCACATGAAGCCCCAAAATGTACAATAATAATACAAAACTCCAAAGCCCTGTCAGGGCAACATTTATTATACCCCACAATACAAATTTGTGACGTGACAAATACAGGGTATCTGCAGGTCATTTAAAAACTCTTAGAATGTCTTGAATTGAACTTTTTAAACATTAGAACTTCAAATAAGAAAAGATAAGATAATCCTTTATTCGTCCCACAGCGGGGGAATTAGCATTATTACAGCAGCAAATTTGTAAAAAAAAATATACAAAGTAACGTATCAAACCAACGAGCAATATAATATGCAAACAGTCTAAAAATACAAGAATACAACAAGTAAGCAACAAATAACACGCAAAATATACATTAAATCGTCAATAGTCATTTAAATTTGTGAGGTCTTCATTGCCACAAACATTTTATTTTTATTTCATTCATCCATCTTTAAATTTATTCTTGTTAATATGCATTTCTGATGTAACAAATCTATACCACTGAACCTGATACTGTCTTTTTACTCTTTACTTGCACTTAACCATTGGTAAAATGTAGATGCTCCTGACTCACTCTAATAATCATATTCCTCCATAAAACCTACGTCTGCACAAGACTACATATATACTACTTACTTTTATACTTAACCTGCAATGCTTGAGTACAGGGTATCCGCGGGGTCTTACAAAGTCTAAAAAAGTCTTAAATCCAATAATTTGAATTTAAGGCCTTAAAATGTCTAAAATTCTCATAAAATCTCATAAAAGGTCTTAAATACGATTTTGAAAGGTCTTAAAAATCTATTGACGTTACTTTTATTTAAAACATGCATAAAATTCAGTCTCGCTTTTAAATGTTTGGATTTTTGAGGACGCTATAACGTAACTACAAAGCGGAACTGAAGTAGGCTACCTGTGCTGCCCGGTCAGAATTTATTGAATTTATCGATGTTAAATGGGTCTTAAATTGTATTCATTATGGTCTTAAAAAAGTCTTAAATTTGACTTGTTGAAACCTGCAGAGACCCTGGAGTAAGGAATGATGACTTGTCCAAAAATCAGTCTGAAATATGGCTAAAAATTATTTTTGAAAAGGTCTTAAAAGCATTAAATTCTAGTGTCTGATTCTGGTTCATTCCCAACCTGCAGCCCTTTGCTGTCATCCCCTCGTGCTCCTTCTTTCATGCTTAGACTGTTTTTTCTAATAATGGCAAAAAAAAACCCAAAAACATAAAGAAGGTCATAAAGGTCAATATATCCAAACTGTAGTAGCTGTAAATCATATCAAACTGATTGTCTCCCTGATACAGCAACCTATCACATTGCCGATGTTTAGTCCGCTTTAGCCCAAAATATTTGACTTGTCTTCGGCAGTCGGGGTTGAGCCAGAAACATGCGTAAAATGTGTTTTTCAACCTTGATTAAGATGCTGAATTGTGTTTCATGTTTTTTTTTTTTTTTACAGTACCTGAACCCCAATCTACTGGCTGTGGTGACTGAGAGCACAGACTTGCATCAGGAGCGAAGCTTTATCGGGATCCTCCTGATCGATGGCGTCACTGGTCGCATCATCCACGAGGCTGTTCAGAGAAAAGCCAGAGGACCGGTGCATGTTGTGCACTCTGAAAACTGGGTGGTGGTGAGTATTGAAGTATTGAAGCTTAAGTAATTTTAAAAGGAGTAATTCACCAACAGAAGTTTTCTTCACAAATTCAAGGTGACACGACATGAAATGCTCTCTTGTTTTTTGGTTGAAGAATTCCTTTAAGGATAAAAGTAAAAATCATTTTATACTGTTTTGTTGCTTTTTCCTTGGTTAGTGTAAGAATACGCTATTGGCTGACTGCAGCTGTATAAAAATGACAAAGCTCCAACACTGAAATTAAACACTGAACACATTAAGGGGCAGATAATGAAAGGAGCACAGGTAATGCCATGAGGGTCATGTGATCTGAACCTGCCTCTGTTTGACTCCACAGTACGAATACTGGAGCACCAAGTCTCGCAGGAACGAGTTCTCTGTAATTGAGCTGTATGAAGGGATGGAACTCTACAACAGCACAGTGTTCAGCTCTCTGGATCGGCCACACGCCCCTCAGGTGCTCCAGCAGTCTTACATTTTCCCCTCTTCCATTTCTACCATGGAGGCCACACTGACCGAGAAGGGCATCACCAGCCGCCATCTGCTCAGTAAGTTTCAGCCAGGTTGAGTCAGCGATGTCCGGTTTATTACTGTTTGAGAATAACCCACCTTCTATTCAACACATTGTTTGGCCCCGTTGCCTTTTTTTTAACATGTTTCTTTGGGTTTTTCTTTGTCATAGTTGGCTTGCCGTCTGGAGGGATTTTGTCATTACCCAAGATGTTCCTTGACCCTCGGAGGCCAGAAATTGTATCTGAGCAAAGCCGGTGCGTTCTCCAGTCAAGCTAGGGTTCAAAACATGTACTTGACTTTTGTTTTTTCTTCCTGTCTCTCTGTCTAACTTGTTCACTTGATCTACAGGGAAGAGAACCTGATACCATACGCACCAGAGCTGCTGATCCGCACAGAGTGGTTCATCAACTACAATCAGACTATATCAAGAGTGCGAGGAATTTACACTGCCCCCTCTGGACTGGAGTCAACCTGCTTGGTGAGTCTGCCATAACAATGCTGACAAACATATGACATCATGATTACTAGTGTTGGAATTGTTTGTTATTAGAAAATGTTTTGACAGAATGACGTCGTGGAAAAGATGCAACTGCGTGTCTGCATTTATTTTCCTAATTTTTCATTTGTGGTGTTTGTCTTTAAAAATCTTAATAAACTTATCTTTGTCTTCAGTGCCAGTATTTCTTTAGATTGGCTTGCCCACGGCTGTAGATTTTGTGGGGGACGCAGAGGACTTAGATTTTGACAAAATAAAAGACATATCCACCATAATTAATGCAGAAACAGCAAAAAATGATGCATCAAAATTCCCCAGAATGCAGGAAATGAAGTATTTGAGCATTAAGTAATTTCCCAGGGGAGGACTCCAAACCTCCCGTTTCCTTGCGTAGGTTTTGTATAAAAACCTAAGCAATACACCATATAAGGTCATGATAAAGAAAAGTTTAAGATGAAGTCATTCTAAGCAAGAAAATATTATATTTATGTAATTTGTAAGATGTTTTTTTACACAGTACTGAGTTATTATCTAAAAAGCTCTAAAAAAAAAATCATAAAAATAAAAAAAAAATCCATCCAAAAATACAGTCCTCACATTGTTTTCTCCTCCATATATGACAATCCTTTTTCCCCTGTAGGTGGTGGCATACGGTCTCGACATCTACCAGACACGTGTCTATCCCTCAAAGCAGTTTGACGTACTAAAAGACGACTACGATTACATGCTGATCAGCAGCGTTCTCTTCGCCCTTTTCTTCGCCACCATGATCAGCAAACGCCTGGCAGAAGTCAAACTGCTCAACCGGGCCTGGCGGTAAAGCAATCGTCAAAAATCCCATCTCTTACAGCCCCGAGGCTGCACGAAGGACCTCAGCCCGAGGAGATGAGGCGGCTGAGGCTGCGCCTGTAGAAGAACACAGGCCAAAGATCAATAAGGCCCATAAGGAACTGCAGGGGTGAGGGGACGGCGGGGTGGGGGTGAAAGGAGGGATTAGTAGAGGTTTTATGTGTTTATTTTTTAACTTATTTTTTTGCAAGCACAAGAAATAATTTCATGGTAGAATAATGTTTTTTTTTGTGCCATGTCATTTTGAATAAATGTTTAACACAGAACTAATTACAAATAAATGAAACAGACTTGGATTTAATAAATTGTCAAGTTTTGAAATTCCCATACATGTGAAAGTTAATTTGCTCAAGGGACAGTTCACCCCAAAATCAAAAATCCATATTGTTCCTCAGGATAATCCACACATCTTGAGAGCAGTTTCTTGTAGTATTTTTTTTCTTTCTACTGAATTACACCGTCCAACTGTACGCATCTACTGGTGGACGAGAGGCTTGTGCTCAGGACTGTGTGAGATGTATGCCTGCGTGTTATGTAATGGCACCCTCCTCACCTGAGCTGTAATGTTAGCTAGCTCAGTGGTGCTAAGTGAGCTAGTAGATGCACACTTCCTTCTGAGTGTTGATACAGTTTGTGGGTGTAGCTCAGTAAAATAGTTCCCACATAAAACTGCTCACAACTAGGTCTGTGGATTATCTTGAGTAACTGGGTCATGATTGCTGGGAAGAGACATTGCTGTTGAGTTTTTGTTATTTTTGGGCGCTTTAAGCTCCTCAAGCTGAGTGCCATTTAGTTCCATTATATTGGAGAGAAGGCAGACATCCTTACATCTGATATCTCCAACACTCAGAAACTTACACCAAACACTCTTAGACTGACCAACAGCACTACAGGTAAAAGGAAAAATCTGTATTTTTGATTTTTGAGGTGAACTGTCCCTTTAAGCAATGTTAGTTTTTTCCAAGATTATTTTTGTGACATTTCTGCTTCATTAGGCTGCTCTAATGGAGAGTGATCATAAATGTAGAGGTCAGAGAAAAGAGAGACGGAAGACGTGCATTACGTGCAAGCATGATTTTATACATTTAGCCTGCTGAATCACCGTGATACCTAAAAGCCACTGGGTTTGATGGCCAATGAAGTGTGAAGAGAAACTACAGAATGGACAGCTTTCCTGAAGACTCTCCCACCACTGTTCTCACCATCAGATGCTTGAAAAAGGAAAATGAACATCAGTAGCCTTTATGTTATGTACATCAATCATCCTGCAGCTCACACTGTGTGTGTGTGAGCAGTTTTAAACCCACTGTCGGCTACTGTTGATGCTCCATTAAAATTTGTCCAAGAACCCTGTGTGTTCTTTTTTTGTGTGTGTGTGTGTGCGCGCGCGTGCACGTGAGCTTTGTGTGTGTGTGTGTGTGTGTGTGTGTGTGTGTGTGTGCGCAGCGAGAGTGTAAAAAAAGTAGTCTCCAAAATGAATGATGGGGTCAGAAATATATCTTAACATTTTTAAAGTAAACATGGTTTAATGCTTATTTAACAACTGCGTAATCTAGGTGCAGGATTACTGTAGGTTGTACTACATTTTTTCAAATGTTTTTATCAATATATAAACCAGTACAATTGGCTAAAAGCTTTAAACCTTGTTAGTTGGCCAATAAGTTTATTATCAGTAAGTTAAAGGAATACTTCACCTACGTACAAAATGACCATTTGTATATTAGATACTCACCCTGTGTTACCTTGAATTTGTGAAGAAAACTTTGTTTTTCTTGTACAAGTGAACGAAGAATCCAAAAACAGAAAAATTCTTGATGAACTGAAGTAAAGTGGGCCGTGTTTAACAACGGCCCGTGCAATATAGTCAAAGTTTGATTTATCCAGTCATATGTTCAGTACTCCCCAAATACATGCATTTTTTTCTAAAATCTTATTATTTTAAACATGTCTGCATAAACGGTCTCACACGTGTATAAGGAGCACATCTGGGCAGTGGAATGCACAAGCAGGAGGGACTGCCCATTTTTCTAGTTCGAAAAATGTCCCATCGGACCAAAAGCTCATTTGTCTGACAGCCCATTCTTCCAAAAGCCCATTGCTCTGAAAATACACTCCAACACAGATCATCGGACCTTCCCAGGTGTCATTTTTCTAAAACTACAATGGTGAAGGCTTGACCTGTCCTACTCTGCCTTAGATTGGCTAGTACTCCTTGCTTTCGTCAATGGCGTTTGTTGAGTTTTGGCTAGAGGAGTGAGATTGGTTTGAATAAGAATATCAGGCTAAGCCAGTCAGGCAGAGTGAAGCGGGTCATGCCTTCTCCATAGTAAGAAAAAAAAATACCGCGGCAGGCAATGAATCTTTCTCGAACTACAGTGAGAGTGTGTATTTTCAGAACGATGGGCGTTTGGAGCAATGGGCATTTGTTTTTTTTAACGAGCTGTTGGTCACATGGGATTTTGGCCCGATAGGACATTTTTCAGACTATTGGGGTCTCAGAATAATGGGCCATTGGAACAATCATGGCCCCAAGTGGAATTCAAACGAACATGCTTGCCCAGGTGCACTATTTGTATGCATGTTTTAGTAAAGTACTAAGCATATGTAAGAAACCTCGGAGTAATATCTGATCAAGATTTGTCTATTAATTCTTATTTAAAACAAACCTCACGGACTGCATTTTTTCATCTGCGTAATATTGCGAAAATTAGGCCTATCCTGACCAGAAAAGATGCAGAAAAATTGGTCCACGCTTTTGTTACCTCTAGACTGGATTACTATAACTCTCTATTATCAGGTAGCTCTAATAAGTCTTTAAAAACTCTCCAGCTAATTCAGAATGCAGCAGCACGTGTACTAACAGGAACTTAGAAACAAGATCATATTTCTCCTGTTTTAGCTTCTCTGCACCGGCTCCCTGTAAAATCCAGAATTGAATTTAAAATCCTACTCTTAACTTATAAAGCTCTAAATGGACATATTTTAGAGAGCTCATAGTGCCATATTATCCTACTAGAACACTGCGCTCTGAGAATGCAGGGTTACTCGTGGTCCCTAAAGTCACCAAAAGCAGATCAGGAGCCAGAGCCTTCAGCTATCAGGCTCCTCTCCTGTAGAATCATCTTCCTGTTACGGTCCGGGAGGCAGACACCGTCTTGTCTCCACACTTAAGACTAGACTTAAGACTTTCCTCTTTGATAAAGCTTATAGTTAGGGCTGGCTCAAGCTTGCCCTGAACCAGCCCCTAGTTAGGCTGACTTAGGCCTAGTCTACTGGGGGACCCCCCTATAATACACCGGGCACCTTCTCTCCTTCTCTCTCTCTCTCTCCCTCTCTCGTCCTATTACTGCATCTTGCTAACTCGGTTGTACTGCATGTCAGTAACTCGGCTTCTTCTCCGGAGCCTTTGTGCTCCACTGTCTCTCAGGTTAACTCATATCGCAGCGGTGCCTGGACAGCGTGACGTGTGTGATTATGCTGCTGCCGTGGTCCTGCCAGATGCCTCCTGCTGCTGCTGTAATCATTAGTCATACTTCTACTGTTATTATACACATATGATTATTGTCACATATGTATACTATCAGATATTAATATATACTTTCAACATATTGTACCACAGTAGCCAGAACTATAATTATAATATTATTACTTTCATTAATGTTGTTGTAAGCTACTGTCATTACTGTCTGTCCTGCATCTCTCTCTCTCTCTCTCTCTCTCTCTCTCTCTCTCTCTCCTTCTGTCTCATTGTGTCATTCGGATTACTGTTAATTTATTATGTTGATCTGTTCTGTACGACATCTATTGCACGTCTGTCCGTCCTGGAAGAGGGATCCCTCCTCAGTTGCTCTTTCTGAGGTTTCTACCGTTTTTTCCCCGTTAAAGGGTTTTTTGGGGGAGTTTTTCCTTATCCGCTGTGAGGGTCTTAAGGACAGAGGGATGTCGTATGCTGTAAAGCCCTGTGAGGCAAATTGTGATTTGTGATATTGGGCTTTATAAATAAAATTGATTGATTGATTGATATGACTGGATAAATGAGAGTTGAGTTATACTGCGTGAGTTATGTAGGAGTTTGTAAACAGATGTTTGGATATAGTTTTGCTGTTGTTATACAGTATATAGTTTTGCCACTTTCACTTTTATCAGTTTTTGGATTCTTCGTTCACTGGTGACCTGCAAGAAAAACATTTTCTTCACAAATTCAAGGTAACTGGGTTGAGTTATTGATACACCTATGGGTATTTTGTGATGAAGTCTTCCTTTAACCATAGAAGTAAATGCAGATTAGAGTTTGATACGCTTTTTTATAACACCAAAGCAGAAATCCAAGTGGACTCGGACACAGCTCCCCTGTTAGAGGGAGTGCGGATCAACGCAAGCGGACCAGGCCCATATATTTTGGTTGTGTCCACGGATTAGACCTTTTTGAGAAAAGACAGGACGTTTACTATCTAAGCTCCTGGGTCTTAACAGTGTTGAGTCTTTTGCAGTTCTGTATCTAGGTGTTACTCCCAAAGGCCTATCTAAGGGAGATACTTATCTCTTGAAGATTTTCCTTGTCGCATGTAAAAAAGCTGTCATCAAATGTTGGCTTCAGAAAAACCCTCCCTCTATGGATCTTTTTATAAACGTAGTCAGTTCTATACGCTCCATGGAAAAGATGACTTTGACCCTGCGTCTACAGAAAGATAAGGGGGAAAACTATTGGAGAAAATGGGATTGTTACCTGCGGGAAAACGACATTGATTAGGGATTTTTTCTTTTAATTTTTATTATTCTATTCTTTTATTTGTTGTGGGACTAAAATGTGAAGAGCTCTCTACAATAACCTGTACCTGTACCTGTTTCTGAGGTACTTATATTTGCCAAGACCTCATGTTCTGTTCTCTATCTTTTGTTGTTGCTTTTTTCTACTGTACTTGAAATCCTGAAAAAAATAAAGTTTAAAATTTTTTTTTAAAAAAGAAGTAAATGCAGATTCATTTTCATGTTGTTACAATGTTTTATTCTGTAGCAGCAGGACACATTAACAGTCAATCCAATGTAGTAAATTAAAGTTTCCTCAGCAGTCTGCTTCTTCCAGGTTATGGTTTTCTTCAAAGTGTTGTGACACAGTAACACTGGCAAAATGAAAGAAGGCTGTAGTTTTCAATCAGGATCGAATGTCAGTAAGATTCAAGTGTCCTTCCTTCTGAGAATGTCGGCAAAAGAGACAAAAGAAAAAACTTTCCATTGGTATATATCACAGTTCCAGTGTGGAAAAAGCACATTGGGTCTATCATAGGACGAATAAGTTATTTTATTTCTATAAATAGATTAAAAACACAATTTTACAATGATTTACCTTTGACACAAACAACATCATGAACTTACAAACAGCCTTTGCTTTGGCCGAATCTGACACAGAATCTTAATGAGAACTTCCAACCTGTTGATGTAACAAAGGCTGTAAACGGGGGTCTGGACCTCAACAGTGTAAACGTAACATGGTTTCCATGCCCGCCCCCCCACACACACATCAATAAAGAATCATTAAAGGCCCAATCTGTACTTTGCTGACCATATATACACTGAGCTAAATGCACGTACATAATGGAAACAATTTATCATAATGATTAAAAGTTTTTCAACTGATCAGAACAGAAAATTAAGGCTTCTTTTACTTTAGTATACAAACTCTACTGTATCAGAAAACCAAAAACATATGCTTGTTGACGTGTGTAGTTCATATGCGTTAAAAGACCTGTCAATTAATTTAAGGGTGGCCGCAGGTTTCAGTCATGTGTTCTGGTGGCAGGGCTGCTTTTCTGTTTGTGTTTGGCTCACAGAATTTTCCTTTGTGCTCACAAGCATAGAAATATGATGCAAGAGTCAATGCTTATATGAGAATGTCGAGTATTTTGCAGGTAAGGATGTAGCTTGGTGTAAATTTGAAAGCTGCATAAGAAAAATGAAGTGCATCTGCACAAAGAGCCTGCATGAGTGAGTTAAATGTTGGTTGTGTGTGTCTTAATATCAACCAGCCACATTGTTCATTGTTCAATTTACCATAAATCTAAATGTGAGAATCATTAAGCAAAACAGTAAATCTATCAAAACATCTTACTTAACATTTCAAGCAGCATTGTCATAAAAAAGAAACACACATGGGATGGGATGGACAGTTTGGTACAAGCCCAGCTTGTACATACAGTAATTATTTAACTCTCTTGTAAAGAATATAGGATTATTGATATGAACATAAGGCTGTCAGACTTAAAAATTAACGAGTGATGAGACATGTTCCCTGTGAGATAACTGTAGTAAACCAAAGTGAAAATATTTCTCCACTATTAGTGAAAAATACTGGAATGTTATGATGTTTTCCATGTTGCTAAAATACTGACCGGTAAAATGTTCAGTTAAAAACAGACAAAATCCTCACAGTGTTGAGTGACATAAGTGATCTTAAAATACATCGTCATAGACAGTAACATTAGAAATGTGAATGTAGCATGTAGATGTTTTCACACACTGTGTGCAATAGTGTATCACATGGTTATTAATGTCAGTCAGTTTTTTACTCATCAAGTTTGAGACATAAACGAGAGTTTCTATCTGTTCTGCCAGATGCTGCTGTTTCCTGTTCTGGTCGGTTCACTCCGAAGTCTTTCTCGTCTGTCTGAGTACGCTGGTCGGCCCGGCGGCAGGAGGATATAGTGTGTGGCGCTGGCCTGTCTGCCGTCCTTCAAAATGGGAACAATGCAGGGAGAAAACTGAGCTGCGGGTGGCGTCCTTTCACTCTGCTGTCTCTGCAATGCCTTACTCACATATTTTGGGTTAGCAGCAAAACTCTGTGTGGCAGGCATCACGCCATTGATATATATTGGAAGGCTTTTGGGGCTTGGGGTACGTGGTGGGCAGGGTGGGATCAAGGGGACCCTTGGAGGAATTTTCGGAGGCTTGTCTTCCTCGTTGGCACTCACAGTCCTGAAGAGAGCGGGAGGTTTTGGCGGGATGGGGATACGGGGAGGGATTTGCGGCTTGTCAGTGGGGCAGGTTGTAATGCCGGGAGGCTGGAAAGCCTGGCCTGAAGAGGGAAACCTTAGTCTGGATGGTTGGTGTTGGTCTGGTTGTTTGCTACACACCATATCCCCGACTGGTGACACCACACGCTGGTGGTCCTCTCTCTGGAGAGCTAGTGCCCAAAACCCACTTCCTCTACCTGTTGGTCTGTCCTGTCTGCCTGGCCAAGAGAAAGCAATGGAGTCAGTCCCAGCGCCACCAGCCCGCAACGAGCTCTCCTGATAAGCATAATTCACTTGGCCAAAGTCTCTGTTCACACCCCTGCACATGGCCTTGGGGCAGCTTTTGGGCAAAAGGCGCCGCCGGTCACTGGTGAAAAACTCCACCTCACTGTCTGCTGCCTCATCTGACATGAGCTCCTCAGGGTCAGGGAGAGGAGGCAGGGGTTTGGCTTCTCTCTGGTGGCCCCCAAATACTGTGCGTCTCTGGGAGGAAGGCACCACCTGGTCTCCCTCATGGGGTCGCAATGTGTTATCAGGCGCTAGGCGGTACGTATCAGAATAGAAAGGAGACTGGGAGAGAGAGATGTTGCCTGGGAAAGGGACAACAAGTATTTATTAAACAACTGGCTTCGTGAAATCTTAAACTGAACTGTACACCAAGAAGCCGCTGCTTTCTTATACAAGGTTTTGCTATCACTGTTGTTTCCTTTACTGCGGAAACAATTCTCAGAGGAAGAAACATGGAAAACAACTTCCACTGAAAAAAACAACAACTTTTAACTAGAGTTTAGTGATGGTGTAGGAGGGAGAAAATACCAGGGGGAGTGGGCTGCCCACTCTGCTTAGAGAAAAAACCCTCCTGTTTTGCTGAAGGTATCACACAGGAAACAGGAGTAAAAACAAGTTAAAAACAACCGCTTAACCTATCACCCTCTTCGTCAAACATCAGCCACAACACCCTGATTAACACAGGAATCGTCATTATCTGCAGGGCTGGCCATAATCTTAACGGAGCTTCCCATAACCTTCTCTGTGGAAACATCCGACGTGCCCCAGACTGCAGGAACAGCTGGTGACCAGGGAGCAATAGCTTCCCCTCCTCCTTCACCCCGTGCTGTCCTCTGCTACACAGCTCAGTCCAGTGATGACAAGCTCACCTAGGCCCTGTCTGCACGCCGTTTTATTAGTCAGATGGGGTCTAAACTCTAGTTTGTCAAGCCAGGATGGAATTTAGGATATAGATTCATACCTGGCAGAATTTTAAAATGATTACAGCACTAAGAAAATGTATGATTTAGTATAGCAAAAACTTTATCGCATTTATTAAACTCTTTTTAGAATAATTCAAAAAGATCAAAATGATTTGGTTGGAAATAATATCTGACATTTTATTTCTGACAATGTCAACACTGCCAGCTGCTGTTAAATGTCACCAGTGTTTTGTTTTTGTTTATTTTAATTTAATTTCACAGATAAACGATAATCATGTGTACTGTGTGTTTTGAACACATGGTTCCTTTCAATCTCTAGGTTTAACAGTTAATTCTAATGTCAGCCCAACATAAAACAGGTTATATATAGTAGTGTTTCATATTCGAAAACTATTCCTCAGATTATTAATAATTAAAGATAAAAATTAATATTATAATATTCATTAAAAATATATACAGTGTCAAATTGACAAAGCATTTAAACCATCAAGTGCCACATGAATATTTGAACTGATCCAAGTTGTAAACAGTGGTCAATCTGTAGATTTCTTTGTGGTAAAATAATTTTCGAATTTTGTATTTTTGAGAAAAAATACGTAAAAGACTCACAGTTAAAGTCCTTGGCCATTTGCTGTTGTTGAAGTTCTGTCAGGTTGTGTTCGATGTCGGCACTCAGGCCAAAGCACTCTCTGCAAAACAACATAGGTTGAGAAATCCATATGGAGCTGTGCATGTGTGTAAATCATTCCTACGCATAACCTGTCATGAGTAAGTCATTACATGTGTGAAATAACAAGCATGCTTAAACAGAACATATGTTCCGTCCTGCTTTAAGTGTTTACATTATGTAACAGCATTGCAAGTTGCTCGACGTCTTCCTTGAGCCATATTCGTTATGTATGTTTGCTCTTTAGTCACCTGATATTCTCGTTCTGTTTCTCCATATTATCTTTTACTATTGCTAATACTGTCTGCTCTGTGTGTACAATATTAGTTGCATGTCTGTCCATCCTGGAAGAGGAATCTCTCCCCTGTTGCTTTTTTCCCTGTGAAAATGTCTTTTTCAGTCTTTCCTTTTCCCTCGTCAAAAGTCAAACAAAAGATGCCACCAGATGTTGTACAGATTGTAAAGGTAAATTTGTGATTTTTGGCTTTTTAAGTAAAATTGACATTATCAAAGAATATGATGATTTCTGATCACAGACACATGGAAACAAACTCTGGGAATCATTTAAAGTGAATGTGAGTAACTCTTTAGTGTGCATACCATCTTAAATATTTGTTTTGAGATTCAGACAAACTAGAGTTTTACACATAAAACGTGAAAAATAACACAAAAATAATGTTTAGTGCCATACATTTAATATGAATATTCCCAGAATTATACTCCTGACTGTATGGTGAAGTTAAAGGAGTGTTCGTATTGTCACACTATGCAACACTAACTGTCCGTTGTTTACATTGTTTCTTTCCGTAATACAGTTGTGTTTCCATACCTGTACAGGTCATGCTGTCCCCAGTAGTTATTCTGACTCGCGGCCATGTTGTGGCAGAAGTTGTGTTCCTAAAAAGCATGAAGGTCTGTTTTGTATCTGAGCACCAGTCGGCTTCCTCAAACCCATCACGGCTTCATTCTCGCCAGCAGAAAGCTGTAGGAGACAAACAGAAAGCTGAGTATGAGGGGATTCACCTGGGTATAATTCCATGAGTAACAGGAAAATGTGTACATTCACATGTTGATGCAGGTGCTTCAGAATAAGGCTTTAAATGCACAAAATAAGAAAAGAAAAAACATCCACATTTGGCTTTTGCATGACATCACTTCTTTCATTTGTTCCAATCACACCTTTGTTAGTGTGAAATGGCCATAAACAGGGCATATAAACATTGCACATCTGGAGCACAAGCCCATCCAGCAAAACCAGCTGTACATACTCATCCTACCAGGCAGGTCAAAGGTCAGGAGAAACACTCTAAAACAAATATGCAGAGGCTCAAAAAACAAACACATATATCACCAAGAGATACATTACTTACATTATTAATACAGCAGCATGACTGTCATTCTACACCTATTCACACTCTGAGAAAGAGTGGCCTGCAAGAAGACATGAGTAAATAAAAAGCATTTTGTAGGAGTAGCAAACAAGAGATTTAATTCATGTTGAATTTGTCTGGATACAGTAAATAACGACTTACATTCCTGAAATGCTGCATGGTTTTAGGTGAGCCTCTCAGAAACAACAGCCACAACAAAAGCCCAGTAAATGACTTCAGTCTGACCCGACAGCTGCCATGTGTATCTCTTTGTGTTTCCAGCTTAAAGCCATTTGTCTGATGAGCAGGCTATTGCACAACCTCTGGGTCAGATGTGGGAGGGCAGCAGTACTCCTCGCCCTCCTTCCTCCCTGTGACCATGAAACCCTGCAGTATCCGCCCTTTTAACAGGGACTAATTGTGCAGCATTCCTGTGATGCTGCACGACAAACTCCGCCACTGAGACACATGTATTATAACAATAATAATAATAATAATAATAATACATCTCTGTACTGAAATGTTCCAGAGACTAGTAGCTCACTAGAAATGAAAAAGTATTTTAGGTATCTGCAGTTATGAAAAAAAAAGTTGTTTATTCAGTTTAAAAAGCTAATTAGTAAAAGACATACGTGTCATGTCATAGTTTCTATGCATATATACAGATAAATGCAAAAGTCGCTTGATTCAGATACTCTCCATTTAATTCTATACCTAACGGCTGCTTCCTGCCTCCTGACATGACATGAATATCACCTGATATCACTTTTGCGTGGAGATAAACACATGTGTTCTGGGTCAGGTGATGGTCATCCACGAGATGCACTTATATGGAATTTCAGGGCCAATAATGACAAAAATAATTATCTGTATGTTGTGACAGATATGCAAATCCCCACAAAGAACCAGGTTTTAAAGGTCCAGTGTGTATGATTTAGTATATTCATAACTATGTTTTTTTTGCTTTATAATCACATGAAAATAAGATTTGTTGTGTTTTTGTTACCTCAGAATGAGCCCTACGGATTATGGCTGGGTGATGTCTACTGAATTGCTGTGCAGTGATGTCCACAGTGAAACATAACGATGGGTGATGTCATTGTGGGATTAAAACACACCTTCAGCCCAGCGGATGTGAGCGGATATTGATCAGTGATCGTGGAAAATGATGACAGCCTACAGTTCACCTGGTAGATAAATAAGAATGGGTACATTTTGAAGTACCCAGTGAATGCCATTAGTGCGGCCACAAACCTGCTTGTGGACAGACAGAAGAACGGACAGACGAGGAGGAGGGCAGGCTTCTAAATTACAAAGTAGAGCTCAGTGGGCCATGACTGACAGCCATCGACCTGGCCCTACTGCATGTGGAGCAGGTCCGCTTCCATGCAGTCCACAAAGTTGTTCTACAGTAGCCTAGAATGGACAAATCAAACACTGGCTCTAGATAGGGCCATTCACATATTTGCATCGGCCACCATAGTTCTCTTACAACGTTGGCACATGGGAGAAGTTTCAGTTCTGCAATCTCACTGCGAGATGCCACTAAGTCCTACACACTGGACCTTTACGTGCCATTCCTAGCCCGCAGCAATGCACCAGTCAGACATAATCAGCTGAAAATCCATGATTACAGTAACAATATTTCAATTTTCTTACTGATCAGCCAGTAATATATTGGCCACAGATATACAGTGCATCCCCAGTCATCCTCTTTTAACATGGAAGGTGACACATTAGCCTTGCTTCCTTGGCTTTCCTCACAAGGTGGAAGGTCAAAGGTTATGTTAAACAAATGAGTTTTTCAACAGAGAGGATTCAAAACTGAGTGACACCTCCATGTCAGTGTCAGCAGGCCTCTATCCTGTTGCACAGTCCACAAGCAAAGTACTCATTCCCTTCCGGCCTCCAGCATGGATGATTCTCAGTACCCTGCAGCCCTGACTCTTCAAACAGAAATAGCATTGCAATAGGTCTGTGTAACTTTAACAGTTAATAATCAACATTATTGTTCAAACTTAAATCTGCCTCGTCTAGCTTTCAAAACAATATTTATTATACAAATCCAGCAGTTTTTTAAATAATAAAGTCAAATGAACTACTTAACTTTGTGAAGAACTGGCGGATGCTTCATGCATCATGATCACATAATAAAACAGTTCCCATAGTTGCCATAATCACCGACAGTAAACAGCTACATTCAAAATAAAATGTAAACACAGAATGAAAAATACACTATAAATTTCTGTTCCTGTCTTTTGAGTTGAATCCTGCAGCAATTCACCTACAAACCAGAAGTTAGTAACCCACCCCTCCTACTCATCCAGAGGGCAACACAAGTTCTCAATTTTACTATCACACTGCAATCTTATTCTTCAAAGTCCTGCTTTGTTTCACATCACTGAAAAGCCTACAGTCAATGTGGGAAGTAAACAATGTCGAGCATGCATAATGCCACACAAAACCCACAACAAACAAAACAGTGACCCATGCGTCGATTTGAATATTTATGTCATCCTTAAAACAACCGACTGTGGCGTCATTTCCGCCAGTGATCCTCGGAGATGGAAGACGCTGAACAATTATGAATTCTGCCAGCAAGTACTCAGTGTCCATGAATGGAGCCACTCTCAGGCATGAATGGGGCTTTGTGTCATTTTGGTGCACAGCGAAGCAAGCCTGAAAATACAAGTGAACTCTCCCATGAGGTTAGCACTGAAGATACGCCATGGAGACAAGCAGACATGGCCATGGTATGAGCCTGTGCCACAAATCCCCTGCAGGAGGATTGTGCGTTCTGGCACTGTTGAAAGGAGAAGCCAGAGGCTGAAAAACAGTTTGTTTATCTCATGCAGGAGCCTTGATGTGTTGTCCTTGGCTGTCCCCACCCCACTTTCTTCAGGCAACAGGCCATTCACTGACTGGCCCTTTACAGATGATTTCATTATAGTGCTGGCATAAACTACGTGCTTTACATCACCTGATTACAAGTTGATGTTAATTCTGCTGGCCAAATAACGCTCTCTGCTTAGCAGGCTGCACACATATCTTACCAAATGCCTTCACCAAAACATCAGCAGGCCACAGGACTGAAAAATGCAGTAGTATGTGGCCTAAAAGATAAGTGCTCAACACCAGAAATATGTCTTAAAGCAACTAATCTTAATAGACAACTGTAGTTGATTTAATTAAAGGAAATATATCTAAATATGTGCTGTGACTTTCACGCGGATTTATAGTATTGTTTTATAGTCCACTAACAAACTGGACCTGTGGCTCTCTTCTCTACATGCATTGTTTTTTAATGGGTCAGACGTGTGAGGCCCACGCTGTAGTCATAAGAGGGTCATGCCTGATATATAAAAAACATTCACCTCGCCTGATAATGAAAATTCACTGCATACAGCATGATAAAGTAAAAGTATAAACGTAAGGTGTAAAAGTGCAGTGTGTGGTGTGAAGAAGACATCTGATTGGAGAACAATCTGAAGATTTAGTTAGCTGTGACATAAGCACATTTTATCTTTTATTATTCTGGACTGTGAAACAGTGTGTGGGAATGCAATCATTTTATTCATATTTTTGCATACTGGAAAACTGCACAGCCCACCTGGCTAATATATGCCACACAGCAACATGCCTGTCAACTATGTAACATAATTTTATGTTATATTTTTACACTTTTTGTTTCTTTTTTCTGACTTCTCATTCTACTCTTATTTTAATTCTGTTTAGGCACACTAGCCTTATTAGCACAGCCTCAGGACAATGCCACCTCACATTTTACTGCACAGTATTGCATGACCATGTGAAAAAAAGCCTTTGAATCTGAATCATTGAATTAAGACTTAAATTGGACTGTGGGACTAATACTGGTGAATCATTAGTGTCTGGGATTGGCCTGTTTAATTCCTGAGCTATACTGAAGTTTACACAATAACAGTCATGCAGTGTTTTATGATACCATCATTTAAACAGAGTATTAACACGTATTTAGTTATTGAAACTGATCAGGTAGGTGACAGAAAAGACCGAATTACAGCAGAGCTGATTCTCACTTGCTTACAACCTGCAAGTTCCAAAGTAGCAAATTTTCCACATAATCAGAGTGACAGCTGTAGACTGTAATTTTGACTCAGTTATGCTTTAAAGAAATCACTTGAGTCATTCACAAATTTGCAATAATAATTTGGTAATATTACAATTCCTACAGTCCAACATTTTTATAAAGGGTGGGATCAAAACAGCTGTCCAAATTTTATTTCCTCTATTCTTATCCAAAAAAAAGAAAAAACATATAAAAATGACTTGAGAAAGCTGAGGGAGTCATTCACGTGGGTAATGGGTAGTTAACATAAGCAACCACTTAAAACTAAAATTCAATACTGTTAACAATGTTTCGCATTAACTTCATGTGATTTTATTTAAATTTTAGAGTATTCTAAATAACTAGGGTATCAAGACTAGGCTACCACCTATTTCAGAGCATTTTAAATCATATTGTCACAGATTAAAATACACATTCTGTAGTTCCTTTACAGTAGAAATATGCGTAGCTAGAGACATAGCTAGATAGCCTACAGATAGATAAGTAGATAGATATTACATAGATACATGTATAGATACAGTAGCCTACATGTATATACAGTAGAAATATACTAGATAGCATTAGTGTAAATCAGTACAGTTACACAAGTACTGTACTTGAGTATACATTTGAGATACCTGTATTTTACTTATTTTAATCGTATTTTAATCTCATGCCACTTTATACTTCTACTCCATAATACCTTAGAAGGAAATGCTGGAGCCTGCAATTTACTCTGCTTTGATAATTTGATTACTTTAGTTACTAGATGATTAGGAAATTAAGATATTTGCACACAAAAACTTGAAAGAACAGCTGATATGATCGGTTGACTGATTGACAGAAAATTAATAGGTCATTCTAGTCATAATAAAAAACATTTTGTGGTTCCAGACTTACAAATATGAGGATTTGCTGCCTTTACTTTTTTCTTTTTTAAATCTATTACTACATTAACCTATATATTTTGACTGATTAAACTGATTTGGAGTAGCCAGTGTCTACTTTTATTGACCTACCTAAAGTACATTTACCTGGTTTTATTTACGTTTTTACTGCAGAACTTTATCTTGTAAATAAAATTATCAGAATTTAAATTAAATTAAACCTAACTCCACACACCACTATTTTAGCGTTGACGTCAGCGCCCCCTAGCGGCTGACCGGGGATCCGCCGAGCGGACTCACCCATCCCGCCTCGACGGGACTTATCTTGGCGGACATCAAGAACCGTGCAGCGGGTCAAGAGAGCAGCCTGTCCCGCTGCTCACAGACAAATGACCCGGAGAGACGAGCTTAACCAGTCGACACAGTTCAACCAAAGTGTCTTTACAAAGAAACAACACAGGTAACTTTGTACCAAACGTCAACGTTTAGACGTTAACGTGAAGTTCGGCAGGAGGAGTAACGTTACAGTCCGGTGTGGCTTTATCAGTTAACTATGATTTAAAAGAGCAG